ATATTGTACTTACAGTAAATACTACTACTGATTGTAAGGACTATTTGCGATGTCGCAGAGATAAACATTTTAATTTAAGTCTATCTTTCTTGTTAATCATCTCTTTACTGTCCTCGTCTCGAACACTTGAGGACAAAACGATGGTCTGAATCCCTCTGCCATGTGGTGTCAGGGAGCACTCAGAAATCCAGTGGTGGGCAAAGTTCCCCTACCCCAGTGGTTCCCAAACTTTTTATCTTCTGCCCCACAAAATATCCATGGCAAAAACTTGTGACCCCAAATATTACTGGTCTGAGTATACAAACTTTATTAATAACCCTAAAAACACAGACTTTTCGACCATCTAAACAACTTGTACACAAATATAAATACTTATTTANGGCTCCGTCTGTGTTAAATTATATTTTTAAACTTTTAGTTTAACAATTATAAAAACCAAACAGCCTACAGTATTTTTACAGTCTTTTTTACAGTTAAAATATATGTTGATCAAATAAAATCTAATGTTACAACTAATCGTGGATCCCTTTAAAAGCCTCCTAGTTCTATATGAGTCATAAGTTATTTTGCTTACAGACATGGACAAAAACATTATTGAGAATAATCTGAATTGAGAAGAATATTATTTATATATATTTAAAAATTAAAATATATTGAGAAGAATCTTTAGTAAAATTGTATTTTCCAGCCACGACTTTGTTTCGTGAGCATGACTTAAACAGGTTAATTGGTCCAACACAATCAAACACTTCCTGCTATAAAAACATTTCCTGATTGTTTTCTGATGTTCATAATTAACTTTAGGTTAACTTTCTTCCTTCAGGGATGTGGGCAGCATTGAGCTGTCGAATGTGGAGGGTTTTATTCTGAACGCACCGTCCAATCTGCGCTGGGGGCCTCTCCGGCTGCCGCTCAAACGCCAGCACTGGATTGGTGTCAGAGAGGTGGGAGGAGTCTACTACAACCTGGACTCCAAGCTGCGGAACCCTCAACCCATTGGCAGTCCAGATGAGCTCAGGTGAGAGGGCCGTTAGGTACATGGATCTTGAACTAGGGAAATCTCATTTCCTGTGAAAATGCTAGTGTGAATGCCTATTGCTAAAAACTTTAGCTGAAAGCTGCTGAAAATGTTTAATAGCAAAACCGTTAAAGCAAGTTGAATTTGAAAAGCTGAAATCAATCAATCAAAGCTTTATTTATATAGCACTTTACAAACCCCAAGGCAACCAAAGTGCTGCAAAGCAAAAAATAAAAAATAAAATAAAAACATAGTAGTATAAAAGCATGCAAAAACAATCAGAACTTGAAAAACAAAACAAAAGGGAGAAAAAAATAAATGGAGAGAGAGTGAGAGACTAGGCTATTACATTACATGTGGTCTCTGGAGTTAAAAGCCAAACCAAAAAGATGGGTCTTTAAAAGAGATTTAAGCTCAATAAGTGTTCTGGCAGACCGCATAGAAAGAGGGAGACTGTTCCAAAGTTTAGGAGCCACAGCTGAGAAGCTCTGTCCCCTTTATTCACCAGCCGGGTCCTGGGAACCACCAAAAGCATCTGATCCTCAGATCTCAGATCTCATACCTGGATGGTAACTGTGTAGAAGCTCAGAGAGGTAACCAGACCATGTAAACATTAAAACCAAAAGTTAAACTTTAAAAACAATCCTATAAGAAACAGGCAGCCAGTGAAGGGAATGTAATACAGGGGTAATGTGCTCAGATAGTCCCCGTTAGCAAACGAGCAGCAGAATTCTGAACCAACTGAAGATGGTGGAGCAGAGACTGGTCAATCCCACTGTAGAGGGAATTGCAATAATCCAGTCTGGAGAAAATAAAAGCATGAATAACCCTCTCAAGGTTTTCATGTGGAAAATAAGGCTTGACTTTACTGATGAGCCTTAAATGATAAAAACTAGACCGGACCACTGCACTGATCTGCTTGTCAAATTTAAAATTGTTCTCTAAAAAAACTCCAAGATTCTTAATAAAATGACAATCAAAATCCAAATAACAGCCAACAGCACTGTGTTAAATCCTACCAGTAGGTCACTTTTGCCAAACCCAATGACCTCTGTTTTATTTTCATTTAGACAAAGAAAGTTTAGCTCCATCCAACTTTTAACGTCCTTTAAGCAATTCTGCAGATTCTCCACATGCTGAGGTCCACCAGATCTTAAAGGTAAATAAATCTGAATGTCATCTGCATAAAAATGAAATGACACATTGTATTTCTTGAAAATGGACCCCAGTGGGAGCAAATAAATAGAAAATAAAATTGTGCCCAGTATTGAGCCTTGAGGTACCCCACATTTAAGAGGAGCCTTTGAGGAATAAAAATCTCCAAKATGWACAGAAAAACTCCTATCAGATAAGTAGGACTCAAACCATTTAAGAGCTGAGCCTTTCATCCCAACTGTACTCCAAACAAGATAATAAAACTTCATGATCCACTGTGTCAAAGGCAGCAGTGAGATCTAGAAGAATAAAATAAGAAGCATAGATGAAGTTTCAATTCAATTCAAATCAATTCATTTTATTTATATAGCGCCAAGTCACAACAACTGTTGTCTCAGGGAACTGTACATAAAAAAAACAGTAAATGTAAAGAAGCTGCAGACTGTGCTGAAACTTTGCTTCGTAACACTCTCCCATCTTTGTATTTTCCTCTGGAGGAGAGACAAAGAAAACACGTTATTGATAAAATAAAAACAAACAAGTAGAGGACTAAAGATAGAAGAGTGAGGAAATGTGCTCAGTTTGTGCTCCAGCAGTCTAAGTCTATAGCAGCAGAAATGAAGAATAACTCAGGAAACCTAAGTCTAACTATAGGATTTATGAAAAAGGAAAGTCTTCAGTCTAATCTTAAAGTAGACAGAGTGTCAGCCTCACGGACAGAAACTGGAAGTTGGTTCCACAAGAGAGGAGCTTGATAACTGAAAGCTCTGCCTCCCATTCTACTTTTAGAAACTCCAGGAACCACAAGTAAACCTGCAGTCTGACAGTGAAGTGCTCTGTTAGGAAAGTATAAATAAAAAGTCAGCTGTAGTCACCTGCCAACAGACGCTGTCGACACACTGAATGGAACTGCTGCTGTTCATTTAAAACTCAGACTGATTGGCTTTTATGAAATGAACTTAGGCAAAAGGCATTTCACTCACTTAACAAATTCAAATAACCACCTAAATGCATTGATAAATATGTTCAGGTCTTTGTAAATAAAACTAAGGGGGACAAACACATTCAAACAATTGTTCACACCAAATACAAAAACATGAACATCTGACGGAGGAAAAAAAATTGTATAGGTCTTCTGGACGGGTTCTTCTYTAATGAAACGTTTCGTCTCTCCTCCAAGAGACTTCTTCAGTCTGAGAGTTTCAGGCTAAATTCAGGCTTTTTCATCTGACATTTAAGAAGGAAAAATAAATAAATAAAAACAAATCTGTTGAAGCATTTGTTTCGTTTGTCCCTGACACATGGCAGAAAAATGGGGGTCACCGCAGAGCCCCCGTCTTTCTGCGCCCCTTCTCTGGTCCCTACTGAAAAGAAACAAAAGCAAAAACGCAGCAGAATATTACAAGATGAGTTTAAAAAGACTTAGCAGAATAATAACTGAAAAGAGCAGAAAGATAGCTGAAAAAGCAGAGAGTAGCTAAAATTATAAAAACAAGAGAAAAAGTAGCAAACACAAGTTGAAAATAGCACCAAGATGGTGAAACGAGTATAAAAAGTCTAATTAGCAGAAAAAATGCATCAGAATACAAAAACAAAATTACAATTTGTTGTAAAATAGCTAAAACATCCCATAAGTGCAGTAAAGCAGCTAAAATGTAGCTAAAAACTCTTACATTAGGAAGCATAAAGAGCTGAACTAAGCAGAAAGAAGTGAAACAGCCACCAAAATGTGAATTCAGCTCAAAATACTAACTTTAGCTAATAACAGCTGAACATTAGCTAAAATTGCAGCAAATACCTGAATACTGCAGAAAGCAAATATGAGAAGCATAAACAGCTCAAATTGGTAGAAAGAGGTTCAAAAAAGCCAAAATTGTCAGAAGAAGCAGAAAAAAGGTAAAATTAGCAAAAAAAGAAGCAAGAATTAGCACAAGGAAGATAAAAAGAGCCGAACCAGAACAAAACGTGTAAGGATGTAAAGATTTAGAAACATTTTCAAGGATTTTAAGGACGTTGAAAACAGCTCTATTCATTTTCAATGGCAAAAATGTGGCAGAAAAAGTGAAATAGCTTTAAATGAATAAATAGCTGAACTACGAAACTTCATAGCTGGAATGTCCTAAAGGAGCTGAACATTTTGATTTATGAATTGTTAAAATTGCACAAAAATTGGGGAACGAGATACATGCCATAAAACATACGGTAGAAAAAATAGTGTGAATGCTTGGGAAGCGTTCACACTAATTAGACTGGCTTTGACTGGGAACCAGTTGTACATCCAGTATTGCTTTCTGAGGCTTTCACTAGCTGTGTTTCTATTGACCATGAAATTGCACAAATTAGAATTTCGAAAATAAATTTGCTCAATGGAAACACGTCAGTTTCGAAAAAAATTACGTTTTTCAACAAAATGTTTTTGCGCTAGGATGAGGTGGTTTTTTTTGGTCGTATCGAAATTGGTATTTTTCGCAAAACTGCAATGGAAACAGTTTTTTCACATCACAGGAGTCAACTGATCAACAACCGTCTGTTTCTACTGGTGAAAAAGACGATGATGAAGAAGATAACAGGAAGTAGAAATAGTAGTAATATCACAGAAGTAGTATAAAATAGTAAACTYACCGAMTACAATTYCCCAAAAACACAGCATACGTAGCCGCTCCCAAGTAGGGACTTGTCTCTGGAAAGCCTCGATAAAAGACGCCGACGTCTCCTCTGATGATGAGCGCTAGTGTCGTGGTAGCAACATGCTATGTGTTTACATCCATCGCTGCCATGTTTGTAACGACTTATCATGAGAACAAACGTATTCACGTGACTTTAATAACATTTCTTACTTAATGGAAACACCGCAGTTGCAAAACCGTGTTTTTTAAAATTTTTTAATTTTTTTACATGAACAGAATATCGACAAAGTTTTGCGCACATTTGCAATGGAAACGCAGCTACTGTAATCTTCCATGTGATATTTTACTAAAAGAAGCCAGGGCTGACTCCAACAGTAGTGTTCAAAACGTAGGCCTTGGAGTTTGTGTTAGAGACGGTGCTCAAATTCTTCCATCAACCTTTAGTACAATATCTGTAAAACTATCTGAGTTATAGTTGACTATAGAAGACATTTTAATTTGATTGGCTTCAAATTAAAAAAAACATAATAAAAGTCCTAGTCCTAAACTTTGACATGAAAAGTCATGCTTGGTTTGTACAGTTTTACACATTCAGACATTTTTTTGTTTAATAACTGTTTTTTCTGATTTATTTGATTTCTTTTCCCCCTTAAAAATCCAGGAAGTTTCTTCGCCAGCAGCTGCGAGGGAAAAATTGTGAACTCCTGTTGGTTGTCTCTGAAGAGGTGGAGGCACACCAAACATGGCGGTCTGATGTCTGAAAGTGTCTGAACAGCCAATCACAGCTCCTGGGGAGCGGGGACACTGAGCCAATCGCAAAGCAGAGAGGAGAGGATGCAGCCAATTGTATTGATGCACACTTTGTTTCCACGTCACGCCTCTTTCCTTGGGTTTTGTTTACACAGCTGCAGCTGAACACAAATCTGATACAAAGCGAGGGAGGAGGAAAGAATATCCAGGGAGAATCAAACTACACACTTTACATATTCTTCTGTTTTTATACACGTTGAGGCAGATTCTCCAGTCCTCTCTTTATTATTATTCCTTTATTTTATCAAGTTTTCAGAGTTGTTGGAGTTCACAGCTCTGACTCCTGTCACGACGATCACTAATGAGTCATCGACGTACAGTACAGCTGGAGACTGTTCGCATTGATAAAGGTTGATTAAACGTCTCCACTTGCTCAAAGAGAACAGCCATGTTGGAGTCAGAGTCTGAGCAGTAGGACACGAGGCTTTACCCTCAATACAAAAGTCTTGCCTACACACCTTCCTAACTCGCCAACAGGCTGTCAATCACATCACACTTTATATTGAACCTCAACAAATTGAATTTAAAAACATTACTACAAATTTCACGTTTAAACATATAGCAGCAAAGTAAAAACTATGAGTCCAGTAGCTGCGTTTCCATTGACCATGAAAATGCGCAAATTAGAATTTCAAAAATAAATTTGATCAATTTAGAAAAAAATTACGTTTTTCGACAAAATGTTTTTGCGCTAGGATGAGGTGGTTTTTTTTGGTCGTACCGAAATTGGTGTTTTTCGCAAAACTGCAATGGAAACACTTTTCGCATCACAGGAGTCACGTGAACAACAACCGGCTGTTTCTACTGGTGAAAAAGACGATGATGAAGAAGATAACAGGAAGTAGAAGTAGTAGTAATATCACAGAAGTAGTATAAAATAGTAAACTCACCGACTACAATTTCCCAAAAACACAGCATACGTAGACGCTCCCAAGTAGGGACTTGTCTCTGGAAAGCCTCGATAAAAGACGCCGACGTCTCCTCTGATGATGAGCGCTAGTGTCGTGGTAGCAACATGCTATGTGTTTACATCCATCGCTGCCATGTTTGTAATGACTTATCATGAGAACAAACGTATTCACGTGACTTTAATAACATTTCTTACTTAATGGAAACACTGCAGTTGTGAAACTGTGTTTTTCGACATGAACAGAATATCAACAAAGTTTTGCGCACATTTGCAATGGAAACGCAGCTAATGGGACTCACCAGAGGACATAATAATCTAAACTTTTTTCTCTTCCTGACAGGAGGAAGTGTTAGCAGGACTTTCATATTGAAGGTACAGCTCAAGGCAGCTCCTAAAAGTAGAACCATTTTGGCTTCAGGTGTGGACAGCCGAGTCGCTTCCTCCATCTAATTTTCTGTCTTGTTTAATGATTCTCTGTATGTTCCTGTCCTTCCATCCCCGTCTCACTTCTTTTTCAATTACAGCTCAAAGTGCGTTATCAAATTGCCAACATTGTGACACCGACTGACCCTTTACTGTAGAGTTTTAGCCAACGCAACAGTTTTCTATGGCAACATAACAATGCAACACTCAGGCCAAGTCCTCCCTCTAGTGGTTGGCTGCTTTATCATGTTATTTTTCATTGTAATAACTGAATATATTTGTTTTATAAAGGGATAAAGTCTGTTTGTCATTTAAGAGAGGTATTGGATTTCACAGTGATAATCCTGTAGTAAAAACTATTATATGAGTATATGGTATTTGTTTATTAGAACATCTAAAATTTTTAGAACTTCAAATATCCAGAATTATAAACCTTGTATTAAACCTGAAGTAGGTGTTAAAAATGACAAGGTTTACATAATCTGCTTTAGAAACTCTTACAGTTTGATTCACATATTGTCTATTTTGGACAAATGTTTAAGGTGAAATATAAAAAATTGGTACCATTTAATTGATTGGTTTTCAGTTTACTGCGACATTTGAGTTGGCTAAAGAATAAAAATATCAAAAAACAGTTTTTCTGTTGTCTCTCGGTGATCATAGTACATTTTCTGCAGTAAAGAACACAAAGCAAGTTAAGATTTGACAAAATATTTCCTTAAAAAATTATCTCAAAACCTTGATTTATTGGTGGATTGCTTGGTTTCGTCGCCTGCTGCTGAAGCCAGTACTATTTTGGGCCTTGTGTGAGTGGTTTTGTCTGTAGCATCAGCAAAAAATCTCAAACTGGATGGCTTTTAATAAAACTTTCAGATGAGCGCTACACCTAAGCGACCTTAGCCAATTTGAGAGATTTTAGGCTAAAACTTAGTGTGGTAATGGGTGAGACTCATCCCCAGCATATACTCAGAGTGCTAGTGATTGAGCAACATGTATGTCTAAATCTTTGGCATGTGTCCATCAGCACTGTTTGTTAGCAAAATATCTCTTGAAGCCCTGGATGGGTTTTAAAGGGATCCATGATTAGTTGTAACATTAGACTTTATTTGTAAAATATTTATTTTAATTGTATATTAAAGACAGTATATATACTGTAGGCTGTTTAGTTTTTATCATTTTTAAACTAAAAGTTTAAAAATATATTTTAACACGGACGGAGCCATTTTATTTCCACACAAAGCATTCTGGGTAAATGATGACGTGGATAGGTCCTCGGT